ATCTACTGTTCATCCAGCCCTCCACGGGGTCGTCCTATTCATCCAGCCCTTCACGGGGTCCTGTTCATCCAGCCCCAAGCGGCTCGATCGATCGGGGTCCTATTCATCCGGAGGCAACACCACGGGTCCTGTTCATCCATCCCCATCCGCTCATTGTTCATCCAAACCCTCCCACAACGCTCACTGTTCATCCAAAGGCAACATCGATTGGCTTCAGTTAGCAGCAGTAGCGAAGGAATCGCTCGATTGTGTTCAGTTAACAACCATCGATCGATCGCTCGGGTTCAGTAACGTGTAGCCTGCAGTGCAATCGCTCAGGTTCAGTTAGAGCCCAACGCCTCGCTCGGGTTCTATTGGGGATATAACTTTTAGGTATGACCCGCCAGGAGGGGCCGGGTTATACCTATAAGCATTCTTGAAGCCCAACGCTCAAGGTTGAAGACGACGGCTTAGTGAGGGCCCAAGGCCTAGAGGCAACTTAAGGCCCGTAGTGATAAACCGCCGTATAGGTGTGACTTGTACTGTAAGGCAAGAAATATTAAGAGACCGAGCCGGAGACTGTTTATAAGCCGGCCGGGACTCTGTAGAGCCGCTGGGCGTCGACCTCTGTATATAAAGGGACGACTTGGCGACAGTTCAGGGCAAGTAACAACAACTCGAGAGCTAGGTCAACCGATTTGCTCCCTGGTGATCGAGACATAAGCAATCACACTCAAAACTGGATCGTAGTCTTTTACCTTCACCGTAAGGGGCCGAACCAGTATAAACCTCATGTCTCTTGTCCCGATTAACCCCTTCAAGCTTCCTAGTTGCGATGACTCCACAACAAAGTCTATTCCTTAGGACATCTGACGTGACAATTCCACGACAGGTTCAGTTACAGCCAACGTCTCGCACACACGCGTGTACGTGTACAAGAGAAACATGCATCGCTCGGCCCCAACCACCCACCGTAACCGGGAACACCCCGATATTTTCCTCGCACTCGCTTCTACCACGGTTTTTTCCGTCATGGACGGCCCAAAGAATGTCATGCAGCTATGTCTTCGGCCTGCCCAGGACGAAAAGCCCATTTTCTGTCATGATTTTTTGTCATAGAAGTAGGAGCCCACCATATCTATGATGATACCGGATTTTGTCACAATTATCGTCATGGGTAAAAAAATTCGTTCGGCCCAAAATGTCACGGATGTGTCTTTTTTTTTGTAGTGAAGGTTGCGGCGGTGGAAATAGGTTTTCGTGGTGCTCCTGGATGTTTTCAGGGTATAAGGTTATATATAGGCGAAGGAAGTCGGTCAGGGGAGCCACGAGGGGCCCACGAGGGTGGGGGCACGCCCACCCCCCTAGGGCGCGCCCTCCTGCCTCGTGGCTTCCTCATCTGCTTCTTGACGTCCACTCCAAGTCTCCTGGATTGCGTTTGTTTCAAAAATAACTCTCCCGAAGGTTTCATTCCATTTGGACTCCGTTTGATATTCCATTTCTGTGAAACACTGAAATAGGCAATAAAACAGCAATTTGGGTTGGGCCTCCGGTTAGTAAGTTAGTCCCAAAAATGATATAAAAGTGTATAGTAAAGCCCATTAAACATCCAAAATAGGTAATATAATAGCATGGAACAATCAAAAATTATAGATACGTTGGAGACGTATCACCGTCCATTACCACACCTTCGGCCACCAGCAATAAGAACTTTGCTCATGAGATGGAGCCTCGAAGAAGGGAAAGACATGACAGTGCTATTGGAAATATGCGCTAGAGGCAATAATAAAGTGGTTATTATTATATTTCCTTAATCATGATAAAGATTTATTATTCATACTATAATAGTATTGATCGGAAACTTAAATACATATGTGAATACGTAAACAAATACTAAGTCCATAGTAAGCCTATATTAGACTAGCTCATTGATCAAAAGATTGTTAAGGTTTCCTGACTATAGACATGACTTGTCGTTTGATAACGGGATGACATCATTAGGAGAATGATGTGATGGACAAGACCCATCTGTTACCATAGCATATGATTGTTCAGTTTTTGCTACTGCTTTCTTAATGTCAAATACATGTTCCTTCGACCATGAGATCATGCAACTCCCGGACTCCGGAGGAATACCATGTGTGCTATCAAATGCCACTTCGTAACTGGATGATCATAAAGGTGCTCTAAAGGTATATCCGAAAGATGTTTGTTGAGTTGGCGTGAATCGAGGTTGGGATTTGTCACTTTGTATAACGAAGAGGTATCTCTGGCCCTCCCTCGGTAATACAGCATCACAAGAAGCTTGCAAGCAAAGTGACTAAGGAGTTAGTTACAAGATGATGTATTACAGAACGAGTAAAGAGACTTGCCAGTAACGAGATTGAACTATGTATGGAGATACCGATGATCGAATCTCGGGCAAGTAACATACCAACAAACAAAGGGAACTACATATATTGTCGTAAATGCTTGACCGATAAAGATCTTCGTAGAATATGTAGGAACCAACATGGGCATCCAGGTCCCGCTATTGGTTATTGGCCGGAGAAGCATCTCGGTCATGTCTACATCATTCTTGAACTCGTAGTGTCCGCACGCTTAACATCCGTTGACGATATAGTATTATATGAGTTATGTATGTTGGTGACCGAATGTTGTTTGGAATCCCGAATGAGATCACGAACATAAGGAGCTCTGGAATGGTCCGGAGGTAAATAATTATATATAGAATGATAGTGTTTGGTCTCCAAAAGGGTTTTGGAATTCATCGGAAAGGTTCCAGATGTTTCCATAAATGTTCTGGTGCGAGGACACTTTGGTTGGGCCAAGGGGTAAGGCCCACATGGCTTTAGCTCGGTGCAAAAGGAACTTCTACGGAGGTCAGGGACCAGACGCGAGGGACCCTGGTGTCTGGCCCTGGGCCAGACACCGAGGACCATGGCGTTTGGGCCAGACGCCGAGGACCGTGGCATCTGGTGCTGGAATCCGAGAAGGACTCTTTCTTGCGTTTCAAACCGAGTTTGAGGAGGCCCTTTCTCCAAGTAACGACTTCAGAGCTCAACATATAAATAGAGGGGCAGGGCTAGCCCCTAGAACACACCACGATTCACCAAGCCATGTGCCGACGCCCTCTCTCCCTCTAGTTCATCCTCTGCTCTAAATTTGTTGGGATTGGCGAAGCCCTGCGGAAATAGTTTTACCACCATCTTCACCACGCCGTCGTGCTGCCGGAACTCATCTACTACTTCGCCCCTTTTGCTGGATCAAGAAGGCGAGGACGTCATCAAGCTGAACGTGTGTTGAACGTGGAGGTGACGTACATTCGGTGCTTGATCGAAACGGATCGTGAAGGTGTACGACTACATCAACCACGTTGATAAACGCCTCCGCTTAGTGATCTATAAGGATATGTAGATGTTCTCCTTCTCTCATAGCTATGCATCTTCATAGATAGATCTTGCGTGTGCGTAGAAAAATAATTGTTTTCCATGCAATATTTTCCTGCAAGTGCTGCCACCGCCTAGTCCGACAAGCCGGAACAAGGGTTTTCACCCAAAGCACAAGGTGGAGGAGGACAGCCTACAGTCACAGCTCCAAAGAGGGAGTGGCGCTCGAGAGCGTTGTTGTCACTGGCAACGACACTATCGAGCAGAGTTTCCATAAAATTTCTTGTCGTTGTATTAGTTTAAAGTTTTTTTTGATCGTAGTATTAGTTTAAAGTTGAATTAAGACAACGACAAGAATTATGAAAAGAGGGACTAGATATTACCGAACGATTAGTAGTCGCTATCAATGGATCGCCAACCAAAACTCTATCTCTCCGGCACGTACTTGCTGCATACGTGGAAAACATTGTCGCGCTCAACTAAAGATTAATTGCCCATCGATCATATTCAGACGCGTCGTGTGGCCGAGTCTTTCCGCACGGTGATGGGCTAGTACGTGTTCACATCAATAAACACAGATATAATTTCTTATGTTCGATCCCCGCCGGCCCTAGCTTTAGTTTATCCGTCGTTGTGATCTCATCGATCGGCATGGCTGGCTATTGTGCAAGGTGAACAATGCAATAACATGCATGCTCGAAAAAATAACATGCATGCTCGAAATTTTAGAAATATAATAACCGATCGAGAGAGAAATTTAATTTACTTCCTCAGGACAATGAAAGGTACGCGATTTTTCTCGCTGCACTGTACGAGTCTACTCCTCGAAATCAACAAGATGGAAGCTAGTATTCGCACCGGATGTGCGTGCGTCATGCCCATGACGAGAGACGTCTGTGAAACTCGGCGAGTTATGCGTGCGGCGTGCCTGACCAGCCATGTAAAGCCATCAACACGGAAGACGATGCGCATGCCATGTCACGCACACTTGGCATGCATGTGCCGATGCGCCCGTGAAACACACAAGCAAACACAACTGCAAAAACAAA